GCGGGAATTTCAGGGATGATGAAAGCATTAGCAAATTCTTGTGTAAATTAGGAGAGTTTCAGAGATTAATGTATGAAGGGAAAAAGTAGCACCTGATGGACATACGCAACATAATATAGAGATGTTCATTTTTTCAGAAACAATATTAGCCTTTATTAACTGAGAACATGGGATAACAAAGAAAACAAAAAGGAAGAGCTGAGAGACTTATCAAATAAAACATGCTTTCACATCCAAATCAATTGAGCCTCTATTTTCTCTGTAATTTTATTTCTGCTAGAAAAGTTACCTAGCATTGACAAATCAAGGAAAAATATAAGTTTATATGAACTCATGTATTCATCAGATAGCAAGGACGGAGGTAGTTATTGGTGAATACCTTCTGATTGTTGGCTGTCGAATATATTTAAGTCAAACATTACAGAAATATACAAGGCATATCATCCGAAGTACAATGCTACGACCAATAATCAGCTAAAAACCTAATGACTAATCAGTTAGAGCGCTAGGCACGTAATGATAGAACAAATATGCAGCAGAAATGAAAATAAAAGAACCACGAGGGATGACAAAAGAGAGTAGTGACAGTGCCAACAACAAATAAACGCGTAAACTCATAGAGGACAACGTGGTAATTGATGCCTGCGTAGTAATGGATTGCCTCCTTGCAGAAGAGACAGAGGCCTCCTTCCTGTAGAAAAAGCAGAGCAAGCTGAGAACACTGGCAATGGGTGAGAGGGTGGGCGGAGGACAGACGTGTCTTGCAGGTAGCGAGGCCAAACTGCCGAAATGGTTTCTCCAAACCTTACTGAGTCTGTGAACAATCAAACACCTGCATATGGTGATTTATATGAACAATTAGATTAGGGAACCGTCAGACAACGAATTGATTAGATGGAAACTGAACTTGAAGGAAGCTGTGGGAACAATGTAGAGTAGATTGAGGAGTCGTTTCAGATGCATGAACATTAAGCAATTCTTATATTGTGGGGGAGGGGACTGGACATGCGTGTGGAATTGAATGCCTGCCGGTTTGCCTCCTTGGCAATGTGGAGGTACTGCATGTCTGCACTCTTTGCATGGATGAAAATCAATGGAAAAAATTTATTGCATGGGTGGTTTTAGATGGGCTTCACACAATGCTGTGGACGTAGGTGACTATTGGCCTGGGCTCAGCGGTGCTGACGGAAAATGCATTAACCTGCATGCAGCCATGCTAAGGAACGCACGCCCCGTAATCGTTATTGAAAACTGAATGGAGGGAGTAATAAGCGGTGACGTGGTTGGCAGAGAAGACAGGAAAATCTGCTTATGGAGTTTGCTTTATAAGAGTATAAGATAAGATAAAATAGGATACTGGAAAATTGGCAAGGCTGGTGCCTGGCAGGGCAGAGGGGTGGGTTGGCAGGCTGCCCTGCGATGTTGGGCTGTCCTCAGAGGTGAGGTTTCATTGACATATCATAAATTATAAGAGTATAAGATAAGATAAAATAGGATACTGGAAAATTGGCAAGGCTGGTGCCTGACAGGGCAGAGGGGTGGGTTGGCAGGCTGCCCTGCGATGTTGGGCTGTCCTCAGAGGTGAGGTTTCATTGACATATCATTTTCTTATGGGTTTTTTACAAAGAAATTCCACTGCACTTCTTTCTGAAACTATCGCCGCTTGCAAAATGACGATAGATCAGCTGGTTACACTCCGTGCAGTGGAACATGTCCACCCAAGTTTAAGTTCTCGACTTGACACGGTGCTCGCATTTTTGCTTGATTTATTCCATGATTTAATAGCGCTATACTTTCAGTGGTAGGCGACGTCTCCATCGACAGGCGCCTGTGATGATTTCGTGAATTTCAAGATCTGCCGGCGCAGTCCTTCGGAGGTGCTCATAGGGGTACGATATGCGTACGTGTGTTCATAGGGGTAAGTGTGCGTGCGTGTTGTGGGCGTCTACGTTGTACTGTATAATTCTCAAAAAAAAAACTACCGCCGCTTTGATTTTACCCTTTGAATTTCAAAACCAGATATCTTATCCTCATCCCCTGAACTCTCAAAACCATGCATATTTCCTCTTCGACCTGGTTTGGAATGGCTTTGAAGGTCGTTTTATCATCTTTTTAGTTAAAAATCAATTAATACTCGATAAGATTTTTAAACCATAGAACATGTTTCCAAGCTTTTAAAAATCTAGAGATAAAATAGGATATGTGGTTTTAAAACTTTATCAAGTATTTATGGTTTTTTATTAACTAAAAAATAACTAAACCGCCTTCAAAACCACTCTAAATCTAGACAGGAAGATAATTTGAACATTTTTACAATTTAACGGGTAAAATGTCTGGTTATAGGGTCTGAGGAGAAAAAATAGACTAACGGCAATAGTTCAAGGAGGTAGATGGACTTGATTCTTCTCTCCTCTTTTTGGGTTATCTCAAGAATATGGAGGTTTTTTTCAAGAATGTGGAGGCCGAACTTCCACGTCCAGTTTCTGTATGGTTTTCGTTTTTATTTTGAGAGGCTATTCAATTATTATTACTAGGAAAATCATGTTCATTGAATTGAAGCCGGACCAGATCCTTTAGTGAAGAGCTGTGCGCCTGCCTGTGTATTTATCTAAACATGAAGAACACCGTTTACAAAATTCGCCATGAACTTACAGTCCAAGATGGCGTTAACCTCCCACAAGATCAGAATCGTAAAGAGAAGACCAAGAAATCCATTTTGTTCAATGACACCGCACACCAACTGAGGGCAACCAAAAATCCATTTCCTCAGTAACACCACAAGTTCGGTACAAGTATACAGCCGACTTTAAACGCGACCACAGAGACTAAACAAGACAAAGGGTCCTTCCAAAAGAAATATCTGAATTGAATGCATATGCTGTTGCTAGGTAGTTGATAAATTTTGATCTTTCATGTGAGAAGCTTCATAGCACCAGGTACTGTAGCGAAAATTGACTTTGTTGTCGAGTCCCATAGTTCTTTTGCACCCATCAATATGGCCTTCTTCCACCTAAAGGAAAGGTATTTGATCCAGACATATGACCCCGGTTACCAAACCCACCTCTGCCTCTATACCGAGAATTGCCTGGAAACAAAACCCACACGTAAGTTAATAATACAGGTGAAGCCAGATATGAGCCCGGAACATGCAATACTGTTCTCGATGAATAAATAAACTGTAACGTTCATAATTACCTCCTCCCCCTGAGTTTGATGACTTGGACATGGATTCGAGTGCAGGATTCACAACTTGGCCAGCTTCCCGCAGAATCTTCACTAGATTCCTTGAGAACTTAGCATTTGCATGTGTGAAAAAAGTAAATGCAGTTCCGCTAGCACCAGCACGGCCAGTTCGACCTATCCTGTGAATATAATCTTCAAGAGTTGTTGGAAAATCATAATTTATCACACACTTTATGTCCTTCACATCTGCAAAATCAACAAACATCATTAGTACTTAATCAAAGTTGATGTGTTGTCCTGAATACCATGCTGGACCACACTGGAACATCAACATTGTCAATCTCCATAGAAGGCAGTATATGGTTCAGACAAGCACCAAAAAAGTCCACAGTGCTGACTTTCGAATTCTAAAACACAAGTCGAAGGAGCTGAAAAACTGAACCGGGCATCAATCACTGCTGGATGTGGAATTGATGGTGATTAACCTCTCGGCCTTTATCAGAAAATGTTGAAGACTGCAACTGGCATACCTGGGTAACCACTTATATCCAATAATGTAACAGCATCCAATATCCATAACCCAACCAAAATTCTGTAAAACATGCCAGTCCAACATAGGCTGTAGTGATTAAGGTGCTGCATCAGAGGTCACTATCGTGAATCCACTGAAAAGAACGCTGATCACAACCATCTTTTGCCCAGTTCGCACTTGGCAGTGATACCAATGATGAGGCACTTGATTGAGAAAGTAGAACGAGCTTCTAAAGGTTCATGTAAGGCTAGGGGAAAGCAAAGGAGATCCATACATACGTGCTACTTGTGAAGGATGTGCATTGTGCAAAAAAATATTTGAAATTAGTATTGCCATTTTTATACACAGGTTTTTATGCCTAAAATTTTGCAATACATCTGCAAAGAAAAAAAGCATTGCTCTCATCAATTCTAAACGAATTAAACGTGTATTTATAAAGAAATGTAGAGAGGTAAGCAAAAAATACTTGCAAGAAAAGCAGACTATTGGATTGGAACGAATTCAATTGCAAGGGCAAAGAAACAATGAAGAGGGCATCAACACAATACCTAAATGTTCCTAAATGGTCAGAGACGCATGGATTAAGGAATTCAAATCAAGTTAAGAAATCAGATATAAAGTACCAAATGCATATTCATTTGGATGCTACCTTTTCAGGATATCCATTTTATCCAAACGTAGGGCTCCCTAAAAGGGCTAACTAGGAAAGTGAACGTTACCAATGATAGCTCAAAGTTGAAGTGCATGGTAACACTGCCAATGCCCACGCTCAAATGAGGCAAACCACGGGGAAAAATGATCTACCTTTGACATGATGGCACCTTGGTATACACCACCAATCCACAAGTTCAGTTCACTCAACCAAACGCAGCTGAACAGCCCTCCGACTTATCATCCTTGAGCACTTGGAACTACTACCTAATCCTAATATTCAAATAAATCATCATACCAAGACCACGTGCTGCCACATCTGTGGCAGCCATTATGGGACTCTTGCCGCTCTTAAACCCTGCAAGAACATAGTCCCGTTCAGCTTGAGCTTTATCACCATGTATAGATAATGCTGGCCACCCATCCATTTTAAGTTGCCGTGTGATCTTATCACAGTCCTTTTTTGTTTGGAAGAATATCAAGATACGACTCCCATCCATTAGATCAGACAAGAGCTTACTGAGTCTGTGGGAAAGAGGTGAAAATCAACTCACACCATGTCCATTTGTAATCAATAGTAGTATAGTGAGTGAACATAAGAGTTTTTAGTCACAAGAGTGTCAACCATACATACCTTGGATACTTCTCATGATCTGAAATAACTTCAACAATTTGTTGTATGGAATGATTAGCTTTAAGTTCAGGTGATCCTATGATTACCTGCATTACAATATAATGCCAACAATTAAGAAAAGGGCTGTCAAAATCAATTCAATACAACACTGTCAAAGAACCAGAAAATAACAATAACAGCACCAATCATGCACCTTGTAAGGATTTTGCAGAAACTGTCTTGCTAAGGCTTCAACTTCTTTAGGCCAAGTGGCACTCCAGTACAAGGTTTGCCTATCTGGGCGGATCTATGGATAGCAGAAGTGTTGGACAAGCATTAGAGCCAGGCAAGACGATAGATATTAATAAGTATTCTGCATTTCTAAACCAAATTGTACCTGTGCAACTATTTTTCGAATTTGGGGCTCAAATCCCATATCTAGCATCCGGTCTGCCTCATCCAGCACAAGGTATGTCACTCTACGTAGGTTCGTGTGGCCGGCTTCCAGCATATCAATCAACCGACCAGGAGTTGCAATGACAATTTCAACTCCTAAAAGTGCAGATGGTAGAATGCATTGAGTTTAAAAAGGCATTCATCTAAAAAGAATTGAACTGGACAGAAGTGTGCAGGTACCTCTTCTAAGGTCACGTATTTGTGGACCCTTAGGTGCACCACCATAGACACATGTGCTTCTAGTTCTTGAATATGATCCAAATTTTGTAGATTCTTCCTGTATTTGAACAGCCAGTTCTCTTGTGGGGGCGAGGATTAATACAATTGGGCCATCGCCTTGTTCTACATGCATTACAATCACGAATTATGAGAAGGGGAATGGAGACAGTCAGAAACCACATACAGAAAGCTCATAGCAAGTTTATAGGAAACAAACCTAGCCGAGGCTGGGCACCAACATGAACCAACCCAGGTAGCAGATAAGATAATGTTTTCCCTGAGCCTGTTTGAGCGATACCAATCAGGTCCCTACCCTTCAAAGCCATAGGCCAACCTTGAGATTGAATAGGAGTTGGCTCCACAAATCCAGATTTGGCAATGGCTTGCATGCAGTAATCTGTCAAAGGAATCGTGAAACAGTAGTATAAGGTTAGTATTGCGTTACTATCAACGGACACACGGACAGGAACACTGGAACTAGAGTAAACCTGGGAAGTTGGCTTCCTGGAAGTATCGGACCGGCTTGGGCACATCCCGGCCCTCTACGGTGATATCCCGGAGGCGGCGGTACTGCGCCACATCCGCCTCCGACATAGCCTGGACGGAGGGACACTCCACGTAGAAGTTCTTCTCGAACGGTATCAGGCTCCGGAAGTCCGGCTTAGGGAGGGCGAGCGAGTCAAGCCCGTCCCTCCCGCGACCTCCTCCTCTGCCGCCACCTCCATACCCACCACCGCCACCTCCATACACACCGCCACCTCCATAGCCGCCTCCACCTCCTCTGCCGCCTCCACCACGGCCTCTGCCGCCCTGCCCGTAGCGCTGGTAGTCGCCGCCCGCGGGGGCCGCGGGCACGGGCACGGGCACGGGCGGGTAGGCGGTGGCGTAAGGGTTCGGGTTCACCGCAGCCACGGGAGCCGGCGGAGCGAACGTAGGAGCCACGGCCAGGTCGCTGCACGGGAAATCAAATCGATCGAGTCAAGTTCGAATTCAAATCAGATCGGAAGAGCTAGAATTAGGGTTGGCGTACGTGCGCCTGTCGTGGTAGGATGAGGGGTCGGCGAAGCGGAGGTCGTAGGGGTTCATGGCGCCGGGTAGGAGGAGCTTGGCCGGACGAGAGAGCAGGGCGAGGGCGCCGCCGTTCTCGAGGGTAAAGGCGAGGGAGGGGATGGATCTGCTGGTGGCGGCGGGCGGAGACGCGGTGGTCTGCTTTTTGTTGCGTGTGTCTTGGTGGCGTGCCGGAACGGAGAGGGTCGTTTCGCGTGACCCACGTGGCTCGGGCCTTGGAGGATGCTGAACTTCGTAGCCTGCGTACAAGGAAAGAGTCCCGGTCCACCTTCACACTATTCGGCGGTGACGGGCCAGCTGAGAATTGACCGCGCGGCGTGGAGCTCCTGTTTGTAACGGCCAAGGTGACAGCCTTTTTTTCCTAGTTACTCACGCAAGCGTTAGAGCATCTCCAATAGTTTAAAAAAAATGTTGTAAAAATTTCTAAAAGACAATTGATAAACCTAAATTAATGATTTTTTCAAGTGGATAAAAAAATTAAAAGCACGTTTGTTAGATTTCTTCAACCGTTTTCAAAATCTCGCTCCATAACTTTTCACTTCAAACTTCAATTTTGATAATCCTATACTCTATCGAAAGCTCGTTAGAGGATTATCCATCACAACTAAAACAAGCTTCAATACCACTATGTGCAAGTGTTTCTCATAAGTTAGCACTTAGGTTTGGTTAAATTGAGCACCGAGATGTATCAATGCACTCAATGTTGTATTCTTATAATAGTATAAGATTCCTATACTCAAGACCAGAGATAGAATCTATTCCAACCTCTTGAGTTTGCAAAACTCTTCGTATACCATTTATTCACAATATGTCTTCACAAGGGTTGCAATGAACTTTATCTCAATCCTTGAGCAAATCCTCCCTGAACTTATGATTTGAACTAACTCTACCGCATAAGAGTTCAATACATAGCTTCAAGACACTATAACTTTTGGTCCAATAGTGATTTGATACTTGATGTTGTATGACTTCTCATGGCTTGATTAGGATCCACACAAGTACTTGCTTATTTGGCCTAGCCATGACACCTCGGTTGCCAAGCCATCGCTTGCCCTTCATCCTCGCTTAGTTCAAACTATTTCCTTTCTACCTTCACCTTATTTAGCATTCCTCAAGTCAAACCTTGCATGTATCAGCAATACGCCTTTGTTTAAAAAAACCATCTTCTTTTTTTATCAGTATAAAATTCATTATCAATATTCTTGATCTAATTGGCAAGCCATACACTTGAGACCAACTCATATGCAACTAATCACGTCTTTTTCTCTCTCTTTCACTTGTACTTTTCATTTTGATCAATAATGTCATTCCAGTTTTGATATCCTGTAATATAAACAAGTCTCAAATGTAAGATCAAATAAGATGCATCGACCCATGCCTTCTTTTATCTAGCATTGTTTGTTATTTCTTCACTTGTGCACTATTGATTTTACTTAAACTAACAAACAACTAGCGGTCTCTTCTCATTCATACAAGCAATCCATAACTAAGACTAAACCATATCCCTCATTTTGTTTTATCAATTTACTTGGCTTTTATTCACTTGAAATATGGCATGAGTTTGATATGATCATTTACAATGAAACATATCTAAAACTCATCAATTCTCTGTGGGGGTACGACCCCGGATACCCACGACAGACTACATGGGTTGCGCTCCTAGGGGCAGCCCAGCCCATAAGACAAAGACCTATAGTGCACGGTACTGCTCGGCGTGTACCGTAAGACATCAAGGGCGATATCCTAAAGATACTACGAGATCTGTTAGGATACGTTCGATCCCATGATTCATGTAATCTGTTATTTCTTTTCGGTTATCTCCTAAATCTAACCGACTTGTAACCCTACCCCTAGCTATATAAGGTGGGTAGGGGACCCCCTCAAAACAGACGCAACATCATACGACAGCCAATACAATCCAACAGACCACAGGAGTAGGGTATTACGTCACGCTGACGGTCCGAACCTGTCTAACTCTTGTGTCTCTGTTGCCTTCTTATTCTTGATTACGCGCACCATTGTCAACAAATCTACCTTCGTGGGATACCCCTCGAAGGACTGCCGACGAATATTCTGTCGACAGTTGGCACGCCAGGTAGGGGTGTGCGTGCTGTTTCCATGACGAACAAGATGGTACATCTTGTAGGCTCTTCGTCCTTCCCATAGCCCGGCCAGATCTTTACGGTCGGATCGATTTCCTAGATCATCAACACTGACGAAGACAGAGAGATCATCGAGCCGGTGCAGATCGATTCTGCGTCGACCACACCAACACATGCAACAACATATCCGATCCCGAAACCGCCTCCGAGGTCGTCTTCACCAACAACTCGCCACCTACTCCCCCGCTATCTGAGGAAGCAGATCAACAATGATGATCTGATCGCATCCATCAATCTGGTTGGCCAGAAGCTCGCCGACTGCCTCTCCATCGCCGAATCGGCTTTGACCACTCTGGTTCAGCGCCGACCACCCTCCGATTCAGATCTATCGGAGGCTGATCAGGAAACTCCAGCGGTTACGGCCGCCATCCATCAAGATACCCTAAGGGGCGAATTCGACGATCAAGTGGGAGACATCTATCCTCTCGCCGATCCGATCGCCGACCAGCTCTCGCCGACTATCAACATGCTGCAAATCGGTCGATGTCCCGAAGCATCCCTCCACACCATCCTAGAGAAAAATCTAGACTTCGAGTCCTAGGGCTCTACGGAGACTGTCGCCAAAATTGCCGCCGTCCAACCTCCTTTCCCACCTTTCTGAGAGGGCGGGATTTTTAATGTCAATGTCGACAGCCCTCCACGAGATAGAGAAACCGATGAGGACCGCGCCACTCATGTCAACAGGAACGCCAACCCTACGCAGTGCCGAGCAAATGAGGCCACCATTGTGCTAGCCGAGGCTGCTCGCAATAGAGAGCAACTCGACTCACAAGGGAGGCCACACCCACTCCACCGCAACCTCGATGATGAATTCATCCGTGTCAATGGCCATGACATCTACTATGGCAGAACCGTCTAATCTAATGTCTCTTAGGAGTGCTCGTCTTCCATTAGACACTAAGCACTCAAGGGAGAACATCAAATCACGCGGTTCCCATCGGGCACACCCCAAGGGAGAACCCAAAATTCCATATTTTTCTATCAGGATCACAAATGAGAGAATAAAGCTTACATCATTCTTAACCATTTCTTACATCACTTTTAATACATTATTAGAGTATAATATTTATTATTATAACAGCAGAATGTAATCATATTATCAGGGTTATAAACAATTTAATTGAACAACGGAATATAAACATGTGATCAGAATTATAGCAGAAATGAATATCTAATCACGACATGATGAAGTATTGATATATAAACTACGACAACAGATTATGAAACTTTCATTTATAAAAGCATTTGGTGAGAGTTATAAATAACAACTACGATCGCAGCGTAAAGGAATCATCGCCGAGCCCACCAGGAGGTATCCACACACAAGGGTCAGCTTTAGCATCCACCTATCATCAGCAATAGGGGGAATAAAACCCAAAGGACTCAATTGTACTCAGCAAAACTTACCCGACAGGAGGAAAGAAAAGACTTCAAGGATATGCAAGGCTATCTAGCTTGTAGGTTTATTGCATTTGCATGAAGCATTATGTCGGAGACCTAATACCAGGGTGCCTAATGAGGTGGAACTAATGACCATCGAACGTTGACACTTCCAATCAGACGAGAACGCTACTCGTTTCTTGCCCGAACGACGGAAGACTGGTTCCGCCTCGCCCGACCTCCGAGGGCTAGGCTCTGCCTCACCCGACGGCTAAGGGTTGGCTCTTCCTCGCCCGACATCCGAGGGCGGACTCGCCTCGCCTGAAGGCTAAGGGCTCCACCTCGCCCGACGGCCAAGGGCTGGCTCCATCTCGCCTGACGTCCGAGGGTGGGCTCCGCCTCGCCCGATGACTAAGGGCTGGCTCCGCCTCGCTCGACCCCCGAGGGTAGGCTCTGCCTCACTCGATGTCCGAGGGCAGGTCCCGCCTCGCCCGATGGCTGAGGACAGGCTCCGCCTTGCCCGACGGCCGAGAGCAGACTCCGCCTCACCCAACGGCTAAGGGCTCCACCTCGCCCGATAGCTAAGAACTGGCTCCACCTCGCCGACCCTCGAGGGCTAGCTCTGTCTCACCCGACCCCCGAGGGCTGGCTCCACCTCGCTCGATGTCTGAGGGTAGGTCCCACCTCACCCGAGAGATAAACCGACATGATTCAACAACACACATCACACACAGCTGAGCAGCGACTAAGCTCTCGGTGACCTATCGACCATTCCATTAGAGACTTGGGACCCGTCCCTCTCTAGACCGTTTGTACCCCCTACTACGAATCATTTTCGGTACTAATAACACGAGCAGCAGCAGACTGGACGTAGGGACGTTCAACCCGAACCAGTATAAACCTTGTGTCCTTTAGTGCACCATCCGGGCCTAATGCGTAACAATTACAAATTTACTAGCCGGTGCTGGTTCGAAACACCGACAGTTGGCGCGCCAGGTAGGGGCCTTTGCATTCTAAATCAGGCATCGGATGGCTAACCATGCAATTAGCTGGGTCCCGAGCGCACACGTGCATTTCGGTGACTTGGATTTCGTCCTCACGGTGGGAGGAGAGTTGGCATTGGCTCGTCTCACCATCCAATCTATCCCCTCCATCGGCTTCGGCTACCGGAGGCTTGAGCGCTAGCCCGGTGTCTCCCTCGGACCCCAGCCATCCAGGGAGGACCCGCGCCGCCTCACCCTCTCTCCAGAACACTCCGCATGGAGCGCCCCGATGACATTTCCATTCGGTCTCCGTAATGCCGCGGTGACCGTAAGCCACCTTGTGGCCCAGCACACGATCCCGTCCCCACGAACAACAAATTCATGGGGATGATCAAAAGCGTCACAGAATCCCTCCATGGCCTCCTCGCGGAAGGTCCGGGGTCGGACTCTAGCTCTGACTCTGGCAGGGGGAGCCATCATCCCTCCCGGGAAT